TTTATCTTTGCGCAAGATGGCATGATAAAATCGACGCTCTCATTCTCACCCCATACTCTAGGAAAAGGAGCCATAGCTCTCCCAAAATCGGCCATCTCCCACACACTTATTTAAGTGAAACTGGAGCTCTGGTGCCAACGCTATAGCGTTCGATTGAGAATCTGCCCCCAAATTGGACTAAGCAGCCTGCTGGGTTTAATTTGCTCAAGGTACCCTGAAAACCATATACCCTTTTCAGTGGCACAGTTTAGGCCACTAGGGAGTACCCCCCTCCCCCGGAAATCACAATTGCACAACTGCAAAAATGAAACTCTTCGTCTGGCTTACCTTATATTGAAATGGCGTAGAGTTGGAGCTATTGCTTCTGTGAGGCCTTCAATGGCGAACTTTGTTGAACAGTAAATAGCGTTGAATGGAGCAGCCCCTACTCCTAGGATGCTGCTGTTGTTAATAATACAACCGCTCTTTCTTGCTTTCATGCCTGGCAGCACAGCTTGGATAAGTCGTAGGGTACCAAAGTAGTTGACATCGAACATCTCCTTGGCCATTTCAATGGGCGTGCATTCTACCACGGACCACAACCCAAACCCAGCATTGTTGACTGTGGAAAAAACGGGACATTATCAGGGCTCAGTCATTAAGAGGCGGGAGCCGGAGTTTTCCCCATGCTACTATGAACGTTTTCCCCGGCCACTTTCAAAGGAAAATAAAAGAAAAATAGAACTAAAAGAAATTCTTAGCTGTTTGATTCCCCGCCTACATGTTTTATTCACCCGGCAACTTGAAATCTTAGTGACAACCCTGCATTATCATGTTTGGACAATGTAAATAGGCGTTTATTACTACAGGAAACAGGTCAACATTAAGAAGTTTAAGCCTTGATTTATTGCATTTCCTGTGTATTTGCGTTCTTGGATGGCGTATGTATAGCCTGTGTTTCGAACACTATCCTCAACTTCTGTCCTTTCCCATTTCCAGCGTCCAACGTGTGCCGTTACTGCTTATGGCCCCGGTACCAAAAAAAATTCGAACGGCATAAATTTTTACATTTATTTAACATTTTCCTCATTATATACATTTTAAGGCCAGTGAATGAATAATTTTTAGGGTTCGTTGGCGTGCCCCCACCCCCCACCCCCCCGCATGGTGTCCCCACTGTGTACCGGGGTCACACCCGTGGAGTCAAGCTGTCCTGTACACAGACGTTGTTTTGTTTTTCTTTTCGAAAATCGACGAGCACGCGAGCCAAGTGAGCGCTTGGACGAGGGCGGTGCACGCGAAAGAAAAAGCGGTCAACAATTCCCTATAGTTTCAAGTTATTTTCATAGTGATACGCACGCACGACGATCTCTAATTAAAGAGAAGATAGAGGATCTGTGAATAGGCTAATTAAGATGTTTATCACTAAAGTGTGAACTAATTTTGTTTCGAAAACGTGTAAGACATACAACACTGGATTAAACTGAAACATCAAAAGCCGACACAACGGACACCAATGTGTGTAACTTGTCGATCCGTACTGAACCTTGATCATGAAATATCTTCCTTAAAAATTCCCACCTGCCAATTCTTTTGTTTATCTTTCTTTTTTTTTCTTTTCGGCTGTGCCCATATTTGAGTTTGCTTTGCCTATCTCCGAAAAGCGCTAGCGGTATGCTGTAAGCATTTATCTTATTTTTTTTTCTCTTGACCTTGATATAAACATGATGAAACTTAACCGCATTTAATTACCCACCGTGGTTACAAAAATATACCCGGCGAGTTAAGAAAAAAACTAAACCAAACGCAGTCGAATAGAATGTTTCAAAATAATCCACAACTAGTAACAAGGCGCACCAAAGGTTGAGAGAAGAGATTTAAGAAGAATAAGACTGAACTTGTAAAGTATGTCCGTCTCAAAGGGCATTAAAAACAAACACAGATATGAAATTATTAGAATGCACCTACACAACACATCAATTCTTCCTTCTATATCGAGTAGTTCTTTGACGGTTTGGTTGACTGATTCATCACGGGAAACGTCCATCTGTTTGACAATCAAAGTGTCTCCAAGCTGTTCCTGTCCCTCTTCCTCCAGTTGTCCTTTCTTCGCCAGATTTCTTATAGTGGCGTAAACCTTGAAGCGTTTCTCGGCATCTTTAGCGAGAAGCACAGCGGTGGCGAGTCCAATGCCGCTGGAACAACCAGAGATGAGCACAATTTGGGGAGCCATTGTTGTTTAATCTTTAGTGCTTGGTAGCGACTTTGTAACTTGATTAGCACTGAACTGTCACACGGTTTTCTTGAGGGCCTCTCAGCTCAGGTATTTACTTATCTGACAAAGGGCATAGAAATTTAAGCTAACAAAAGAATGTCTTTAATTATATGCAAATTAAATGGTCATTCTTTTAATTGGTAAATACAAAGTCGTTAGCAGAATATAGGCTGCCAGCAAGCTCTCAAGATCTCTCTGTGGTCAGGGCCGGAAAAATGGTATTTCCTTTAGAGAGGTTGCTAGCAGGATGCCGAATCTAGTTGAGAATGACCAGGAGGAATGCAAGTTTTAAATACGGGGGGAGAGAGGAGGCAACTTTTGCCTCCTAACAAACTTCTTTGAATTTCGCGAATTTGCAAAGCTACTCTAGACGACTCTAAGCCAGGCTCACATCTTGCTCTTTGGTAGTGGTGCCGACAGCAAGTTGAAAATTGAAAAACCGGTCAAAGGGTCAGTTCAAATCAGTGCACGCTTGCTGCCTGAAGAGTCTCGAATGTTCAGGCATCTTATATTCCGAATATATACATCACCTTTTTCAGAAGAAAAATGATTATAACAACTCAGTTATATTGGTCTCAAGGAACCCAAATTGACGACACTACACTCTTCCCCTCAGGCGATGTAATTTCATCGCTAACGCTGACCTCTTGCCTGGACCTTATCTTACGAAATTCTCTGTCAAAATGGAAGAAACATGCAAGCCATTTTTTCTTAACTCTTTCTCTTTTTTCTTCTGATAAACATTTTCAGTATAACCCGTAATATAAAGAACCAGACATATAAATAAAGCACAGGAGTTATTTCAGTTCCAAAAAACGCAGACAGCACATTGCGTCGTGCCCCTTTCATGATAGCGCAAATAAATTGAATAATTGGCCAAGCATCAAGGTTGTATCAATATTAGGGTAATTAGCTAGGGTAATATATAAGCTTAACTTAAAAATACCATTATAGGTCATGATAATCGATCTTTGTTTTCCCTCCAAAATTTTTTCATTTTTGGCAATTTTTCTTGGGACGATTGCAAGGCTCAAGATAAATTGGAAACAATGCTTACGCAAAATTTTGGAGGAAAAACTAACAATATTATGGTATTTTTAAATTAGGCCTATTAAGATAAAATGTAAATTCTTTTGATTGAGCCGACGTACTGTGTTAGCTAGATTCGAAGGTGAAGAGTACAGAGGTGTTTATGATTCCCTGTATCCCCCGAATGAGAAAATTTTGTTTATCCAATTCATGTCCAATATTCCATGATCCAGTCAAAAACAAAAAAAAAGCAAAAAAAATTTTTTTCACTCGAAACTGAAAAAATCTTCTTCCGCTGCGAATAAGGAAGTCGCTAGTGGCATTAATTTCATTGTTCCTCAAAAAGGTCATTTGAAATTTTCCATTATCCAAGGTCAAAATTGATATTTTTCGTTTTGCGAGGCTTCAGCCTCTGATAAGCCTGTTTCTAGTGTTTGTTTAGCCAGGACGACTGTAGCCCAAATTAATGTGGGATTTCGGACGTCACGATTTCATTAAGTCTGGAATTCATGATTTTAAAACGTTTTTCCTTAAAGTTTAAAAGCCAGACTAATGAAAATGTCTGTCAAGTCTCCTTGTTTTAATTAACGGTACTAAAAATAAAGCTTAAAATTCAAGGCAAGGCTGATCGGACAGCTAAGGGATGCAAATTTGTTTGCCCAATTTTTTCGACTAGACAAAACGTAAGTCTCCATCAGGGGCTAGAAAAGCTAAGTGAGAATAGAATAAACGGTTACAGTATTTTAAATAAGACAAAAATAAAAAATATAATGTGATTGGTGGTGACGTGACAACATTTATTACTAAAATTCAATTGAAAAATTGACTTACAGAATAAATTCGACCTGAAAGGAGGACTCAGAATATTGCCTAAATTAAGCTTTTCGCCGCTCATTACATCAGCAATTGTCAGATATATCTCGAAAGTGACCAACTAAGTTCCCCAAGGCGGTTTAATCAGGAGCTAAATAAAGCTTTTTCATTGACTAGAGTACAGTGTGTAACTATATATAATCCTCCAGTTGTAAAATAGAACTCACGTAAGTGACCAGCCCGAAGCCGAAAAGTTCGTCGTTTGGCTTGTCATAGGACGACATCACCAACATTTTAGGGGAGGTAAAGCTTATTCTGGCTTTCAGGCATGTGGTTATTCACTTTCACGATTGGTATTTTTTGGCTTATTTAGCAAATCTCTGCAGGCTGGCTGCTTGAGTTGGCACCCCTGCGTTGAGCTGGCGTAGACCGTCGTCTGGATTACCGGATCAGGCTCAAGTCGAATGACTCGGCTAAGGCCTCTTTGATAAGGTGAGGTAAGGTTTACAAGTTGATTTCCATTTGACATCCCACGCATAATTTGGCTGGCGCACTTGTTCTATTCATATCCATCAACTCATAGATAAAACATGAAGAAAAAGACGGACTTTCTCTGATACAGTCTTCAGAAAAAAATCACGCTAGGGTAATTGATTTGCAAAGGAATACGAGCAGCCGTAAAACTAAACGAGAACGAATAGAAGTCTCAATTTGAGTACCGATTTATATCGGCTTTAACAGATGACTCGGGTTTTGCCCCTGCATGTAGATATCCCGACTGCGTCCCGTGTAGTAACAAGACAAGAAGTTTATATGAATTTCCAAACAGCAAACGCTCCAGGGGTTGGGGGGTAGCGCTCACACAAGATTTGCGTGCTGCAATGATCAGGCCTGGTCAGCAGCCGTTTACCAGGTTGGCTCGGTTCATGCCTCGTTTTCGTTGAAGAACTCAGTACTTTCGAACCTGCCACCAGCCTTTCGTAACACAAGTTTGCATTGGAAAGTGAATCGTAATTAAGGAACCATGATTGAAAACAATGTCGCCGTAAATGTTTAAATGACCAGGTATAACCGCGATCTGTATTTACCTCTCAATGAGTCGCACATGGAGTCGGGAGCACTCATTTAGTTTCACCACTGCAATGAGGGGTATAAGTGACCAATTCAAAACCTGGCTTTGTTCATTTTCTCAAACTGCGAACTTCAAAGTATCTGTTGACCGAATCTGTGGGACTCCCTTAGCTACGCCGGTGACTCAAAGAGTTTTCATGACTGACGGAGCTGCACATGCTGTTTTAGTCGTTACTTACAGTGCCTGTAACATATAAAATACTCCTGTGGCAGCCTCGTTCCCAATCGTCCTAGGCGATTTCGGATGTGACGTAACCTGTCAAGCTTGTTGCGAAAGTCGGATAGCGCAAACTGGCCTGAGTACCAGGCTGCTCCTGTAGAGTTATGAAGAAGACATCACACATTTCATAAGGGAGCACTAAACCAAAAAATCCTTTGCCAGGTCTTTGAGAGATTTTTTCAGGCATGCGCCATTAAAAGTAGTCTGCTACATAGCAGTTTTTAGTGTCGTCACGCAACGTTAGTGGGGAGGAGCGTTGCGTGACGACTCTAAAAACGGCTATGTAGCAGACTACATTAAAAGTTGACGCAAATTTCAATCCAGGTCCATCCTTTTCATCCGCAGCAGCAGAGTAGACGACAGGAAACACTTCAATGCCTAAATGTTGTCTTAAAGGTGCTGTGTCACGGCCGTCCAGTTCAATCCGTTTCATTTTTCTTCAGTTTTGACCATCAGTGACATCTGTTGTTTCTGTTGTGTTATTTTAACCTTCCTTTAATGTTTTAAGCGGTTATTTTTTTTGTTTCTCTTAATTTAACGGGCATTTTGTAACTACCTAATTTGTTTGAATTTTGTGACACAGCTCCTTTAAAGAACAAAGTTAGACCATTATTTCTGGAGTTCAATTGATGCGAAGACTCATTTTAACGTTTCAAATACAGTCGACTCCCGATAACTCGAACCCTCGCTAACTCGAACCAAAATCGATTTCCCCTGGATTTCCGTTATACATTCGCTGTAATTTTACCCTCGGTAACTCGAACCCTCAAAAACTCGAACTCCCGCTAACTCGAACTAATTTTCGTTTCCCCTCAGGTCATTTTCTATATAATTTTACCCTCGATAACTCGAACCATGTTTTGAGCCCTTAAAAAGTCGGCAAAAAAGCCGTCTACTAGCGTTCGAAACATTGAATTTTGGATTTCCTATTGACGTGTTGAAGGAGTATAGTTTACTAGTGGAGGATGATGTTGATTGTCACAGGCTAACTTGAAGCAGCTTTTCTTCTCAAAACAGTAAAACGCATGCTCTATTTAGGCTATGTTTTGTTACGTATTGGTAACGTTCTGATTTAACTAGAAGTATCTTTTAATTTTCACCATAGTTATTAGAGGAGACTGGTTATGAAAAGCGGCAAACATCAATGATAAAAACAACAGTGCTGCAGTTTATGTTGGAAGCACCCTGAAAGTGCACAATCCTTTGTTTTCTGTTGGCAAATTGTTACAGAATAAATTAATGCAACGTTTTTATTGGTCAATACAATCAAAATGATAGGAATTCTTTTGAAAGTTGTGCACTTTCAGGTCCACAAAAACATATAACAAAGGAGTCTGACGGGTTTCATAACCATTCCACTCAATTAACTATGTTTTCACTTGACATTTCTACAATTAAATGTGATTAAAATGTTCACTGTGCAGTAAAAACTGTTTTTTACCTTACTCTCGGCTATCTTCTTAGACCTCCCGATAACTCGAACCTTTTTTCGATTTCCCTTGAAGGTTCGAGTTATCGGGAGTCGACTGTAGATAGCAGATAGCGTGACATTGCCCCTTTAAAATCATCATGTAAATCACGCTTGACTGCGTACCGGAATTTTATTTTTGCCAAGCGTGCGCGTAAAGAAAATAGAGCCTGATTTTAGGTTACCGCACTGCAATTGTAAGAAGTTATTTTGATATAATTACGTGACGTAGCACAAATAGGTTCTAAAAATAAACAAAACAGACATTTCCTTATTTCCTCTTTTTTTTGTCTGTTCATCGTACGTCATTCTGAGAGAGGGAGGCCTGGGTCAATTTCTAAGCGCATGCGTGCAAGCCGCCGACTCCGGGAAAATGGCGGAAAATGGTGAGGTTTAAAGTTGGGTATTTTTAACTTCTGATTTGTTTGACGTTGTTTTTGCTAGCATACCAAGAAAACTTAATTGTGTTGTTTTGTTTCCAGCGTCTCCATCTCATGCTGCTGACAATGAAGATTCTTCAGGTAAACGAAGAAAAACCACTCGAAGTTTTAAAACACAAACGTAAATCCGTTCGAATATGCAAGCTATTAACTGTTCCAATTGTCAGTTTGCCAGATAATTCCACGTCTGCAGCTCATGATCTATATTCCTCGGCGTTGTTTTATCTGCTTTTTTAGAGAGGTGTATATTAATTGTAGTTTTCCTTCTTCTTCTCGTTCAGGAACAAATAACTCCGTGAGAATTCTTGCTCCGCCGAAATTCACTTTACGTCAAGATACGTCCGGAAAAGTTACGGTAAACAGAAGCTTATATTTCGTAGTTTTTGTTTTGTCAAGCAGTTGGATTCGTTTGAAAGAAAGTACTAATAATAAAAAGTCTATCAGTGATCGATGTTGTATTCAAGAATTTATGTGGCCATTTCATTTTACAGTATATATGAGCTTAACCTCAAGTACGCTAATTAAGTGAACGAAGAAAAGGAAGCAGAAAATCAACTTACATGTTTAGACATTTTCACTTTTGTAGGTTCAACTTTTGTGCCATGGCCACACGTCTTCTTGCTCTTTATTATGCATCCTTTTTCTGACTCGCAAGCTATAATTATCTGTTCTCCAGTTGGTTTATAAGAAATAATAAAGCCCAGAGTACTACATTATATAAATAATATATGCACAAATAATTCTTGTGCGGAAATTTTACCTCAGTTTTTTACAGGAAGGCTGTCATACGAAGTGCTTAACATCACGTATCCCAAATCTTCTCTGTATACTTTCAAATATTTATGCAGTTTTTTCTAATTTCCTTTCTTATGTCACTCTTGTTTTAGAATGCTTATTCCAAAGATAATGGAGAGGAGCCAGAGGTTTCAAGTGAGGAATCAACGCCTCTTGGAGTTTCAGTCAAGGTAATGTATGCTTAGCAACATAATTGCCAAAATATGGCCTTAAATTCTTTCCGGAATTTTCCGAAAAAAGCTCTAAAATTCTTTTAGAAATGTCTAAAATTCTCCAAAAACTCTAAAATTCCCAAAAATTCTCAAAAAAAAATTATTATTTTTTTTGATAGTGAGGGCCCCTTTTGGTGAATGACCACTGATAAGTTGTAGTGTAGACAACTCTGATGAGAAGCCGCTAGTTTGTTGTGCTCAGTGGACAGTGCTCTAGACACTGCTGTAGCATTTAAGCGGACTAAGCCCTCTTTTGGTTGATAGGAATACAACAAAAAACTTTTTGTCAACGTTTTTGCCGTGAATATGGTCAAAAAGTCAGGTGAATGTTCAGATTGCTCTAAAATTCTCGAATTTGTCGATTTTTTCCCTAAGATTCCCGAGATTTTCGAAAATTCTTTTTGATGTCTAAAATTCCAAAACAATTCTGGAATTATGTAGCTAAGCCTAAGGTAACATGAGAGTCTCAAGAAAATGAAATTGTATACCGATTATTATGGCAGATCTCTTGGCTGGCCCAGGTCTTGTTTTGTTTTGACTCCACGTCTTAGCGATTGAGTTGATTGATACAATTTCCTTTCAGTGGTTGCGTGCCTGAATGCCACCCTCTCTAGCCAGAATGAAAGTTGACTTCCTTTACTTTCCCAAGGTTCTTTTGCCAGGATAGTTATGGATTCATGCAATTCGGTGTGGTAATTCTGCAGATGTTTGTATGTTGGGACAAGATGTGCCTCCCTCAACCTCCCCACCCCCTGCCCCACTATTATATAGTTTAAACAAAAAGTAAGATACATGTTCTCTTTTCAGTTGTGTTAATAGAAAGTCACTAAATGGTCGTTATCGAAATTAAAAAAAAAAAAACAATGTGTTGGCAGGGTCTATTTTTGCGACAGCTAAATGACTGTTTTGGCGAGGAAGCCGTAACATTTATTTTAACATAACAATGCATGGGCTAGGAAAACTTTTCAGGTGCAAGCAGAAGTGTAAGATATGTGTTTTGTGGAAGTGGGTTTAATCCCAGATCTTTTATTGACTATTCTTATGTTTCAAGTCAAAAATTCAGCTGAATCACAGGTGTATAATTAACTTATTGCATGGTATTCCAAGGCTACTGAAGACATCTATGTTCCTAAGATTATCAAATAAGTTTTAAATCTGAGCTCTGAGTCATTCTGAGTTGTGTGTGAAAAAAGGCGAGGCTGAATTGTATTTTCAACTTTAATGCATACTGATATCAGGGCTCAAAACAATTCCATCCTGACATCTAAAAAGAGTAACTTGCCCAATGGAAATGGGTCCAGGCAATTCATTCTCCAGCTAAATCATTAACTAACAGTTCTAACTAAGAATTCTAAGCAAGTACTTGCCCCAGGCAAGTACAACATTGTGAGAGCTGCTTGCCCAAAGGAAGTGCTGGAATTCAAGTTATCTTTTTAGCACTTGTAGTGATGTTCAAATTATGATTAAAGTTGCCCCATGCAAGTAAAGTGTGCGAGCTGCTTGCTCAAAGGATGTGCTAGAATTCAAGTAATTTTTTTAGCCCTGGTAATGATGTTCAAAATAAATATGATTAAATACCTAACAAAGGTTCTAATTATCTGTTTATATCTAGAGATCCGCTGAAGGGGAGGACAAAGATGTTGATTCTGAACCAGATGAAGGTATGTTGCACACCCTATAGTGTTTATCTGTGTGATGCAAAATGTTGTCAAAGAATTTTTTGCAAGATATGCCAAATTTTAACAATAATAATAATAATAATTTTGCTCTTAAAGGTTTTGTTTTAAGTTTTGCAGTTGGAGATTAAAAAGATTTTTCCCTGAATCTGTGGCGTCAGAAAACAACAAAAATATTTCAATATTTTGCTTTGAGTTAACAGTCAGAAGATAATGAGCGTAATAAGCTTAATAACTCAGTGGCAGGAGCAGACTGCTCCTAGTATTTTTTTTCTCTTGGAAAAAACTGCTAAATAGAAATAGCCTTGTTTTAAAACCTTTGATAACTTTACCTGTATAAAATGTATGTTAATAATTATTGTGCCAGTCTTGTGCATTGTAATAAAGAAGCTAATGAGATCTATCTTGCTTACAGTGTAGACAAAAAAAATTCTACTTTTTTGAGTGAGTTGTTTGTTATGGACAGTGTTGCTCTGATCAAAATGTTAACCTTTCAAGCCCTAAGGGTGACCTTCATTAATATTATTTTCCACTAACAATATCAGTACATAATCAAGAGGAAGGGCTATAAGAATTGATAAAGTGATCACCCAAGGGAAAATGCTTTGATCTTTTACAGGGCTCGAAATAATTTTCGGATAGTCTTCGGTCACGATGACCGGCCAAATTCATTTTTGCTCGGTCACGTATCGTTTCTGGCCGGTCAGATGTATATGATGAATTACTCTTTTAGGGGCCCATAAACCCAAAATGTTACGAATTTATTTCGCAAGAGTCGTTGCTGAGAGCTTATAGCACTTTAAAGTGCTTTACAATAAAAGTAAAATACAACGGCGAAATGAAAATAAGCTTAATTAGGCTTATGTGTATTATCGTTACACTTTCTGTAAGACTTACATGTCTTACATATCTTTAGATATTTTTTTCTTCAACTGAACATGTTCCTTGTTAATCACAACTAGTTTTTACTTGAAAGTTTTTCATTTAATGTTATCTACAACCCACTAATAGCTGGCAAACATTAGAGTGTTTGTACATTGTTTATCAGGTTCACGGTTGTACAACCTTTCATGTTTACATTACGCACGCGGCCGATTACTGTGCTTTTCACAAACATGCGAACTCTAAAGTTCAAAAGATGCCTTCACTATTGCGTTTTTGGCTGCCGTCAACCATAATTATGATTACAAGCAACGAACCTTAAAACAAAGAAACACACAAAACGGATCGAAATCCTCCAATCACAAATCAGAAACCATGACCTTTTGAACCCGTTAAAGTAAAGTTTTGTTTCCTAAGAGGTCCGTTAGGATGATTGACGGCAGCGAAAAACGCGATCGTCAGTTGGCTTTTGAACTTCAGAATTCGCATGTTTGTGAAAAGCGCAGTAACACATCGATAAACTTGCGAAGAGTGAAATAATTATTGTAACGTTGCTATGAATTATAGTCCCTTTGCAGTACACTGCTTTGATAATATTTATTCCGCTTAAGGAATTAATTTATACGCAGGGACAAATGTACAACTTGAAAATTACAAATAAAAGTGGAAATATTTGGTAATTTTGTGACCGGAAGTGGGCGAATCCCGATGTCTGTTTCGATGCGCGAATTGTAAACAACGGCTCTAGTTGCATGTCACCAGGATGTCATATCAAAGTTCCGCAATACACAGCGACTCGATAAATAACAACTGAAACAACTGAACAGCAGGAGCCTTAAATTTATTTCATTTTCAATACGATTGAATTTTGACCGGTCAACATGACCGGCCAGACGAAAGTTTGACCGGTCAAATCCACAATCAGTCCGGACATTGTCCGTTGACCGGCCGTTATTTCGAGCCCTGTTTTATCAAATTCTCTTAACTAATTTTTGTAAGTAAATGTATGGAGATCAGTCTGGAGAATTTGTATGTGGATAATTGGGTATTAAATGGTTAATATTAGTATCAACTGCAAATAAAGCCTACCTTCAAATTATAGTACCGTGCATTATTTAGAAAGTGAAAATGTGCAATGTAATATAAAGTGCCATATTGGCCAATGCTTCAATTGCTGAAAGTCAAGATGGAATCTATCAGGAAATTGAATGAATCTAATCTGTTCTAATCTAACCTAATCTAATCTAATATGTGTTTTCTCAATTCCTCTGAAATGTGAAATTTATTTTCTTGGGTTCCCATGAGAATCTTTTTTTGGAGTTATTTTATAAATAAAAATTAGCCCTTGAAATGGCTTAAAATATTCTGGTACAAGGTTTTTCCCCACTGAAAGTTAAAATTACTCAATTTTGTAATGAAATTTGTCTTAAAGTTTATTTTAGTTGAAACAATTTCTGTTTCTGATATCATAATTATGTAACTTTCATTTTCAAAGTGATCCATTGAGTAACTTTAAAAAGAACACTGAACAAGTCAATGAGATCTATCCTTCTCTCTCTAGACAGAAAGAGTGCTTGTTATTATATTTTATATTACATGAACATGATGCTTTAATAACTGCTACTTATTATCACCTGCCTACAAGCCCTACCTTTAAATAATATATCATGTTTTAGAAAGTGAGAAGTAATTTTCAATATAAAGAGAGCCATTGGCCAATGTTCAAATTGCTGGGAGTCTTAAAGTTTACTTAAGTTAAAACAAATTTCTGTTTCTGGCTATTATTTTGACAAAATGGTATGGTCAAGTTACTTGCCTTATCAACATGATTCTAAGGTTTGAAACAACACTGAGCATCTGGATGGAAATCTTACTTAATATGTTTAAGATTCTTCTTTCTTTTGCACCAGCAGTGCCTTTTTGTTGTTAAGTTATGGAAAGCTATTGTTGAAATTATGACGTGATCTTGTTCTTTGTTTTGTAACCACAGTATTATTATGTGTAGTCTAGCAGTGAAGGCAGAAGGAAGCCGTTGATGATGGTTAATCTGCTTTTTTATGCTTCTCTTCTAGGCGACAGTTTTTCTCCAGTGAAAAAAGTGGCCAAGCTTGAAAAAAATAATTATTCAGGTACTTACTTCACGCGTACATCATTGGTATCTACCACTGCCAGAGAAATTAGAACAATAAAACAATTTCAGTAGATATTATAAATGACTAAAATTAATTTCAATAAAAATCTAGATTTTATCCTCCAGTGGTTATACATGTATATAACTTCCTACAATAAGCATAAGCAAAGAGGAGCACAAAACCTTTAAAATGCTGTGAGCCATTTAGTATTGTTTCAGTTTCTCTCACTGGACACATTAATTTTGATAACTGTAGTTCAACTCAGTCTCTTGTTTTTCTCAAACATACAATCATTTACATGCACCATACCTGTGATAACAACAGGCTGTACTGGAAACATGTGCTTAGCACAAAAATAGGCACTGCTTCTCTTTACCTCCACTGTATTATACATAATTTAATTATGTATAATACAGTGGAGCTAGTGGAACCCAGTCAAAAGGGAAAATAGAGTCTAATCTCAGGGTAATCTTGGCTAAATCTTGTCTTAGTAATAACAGTGGTTCCATCCCCAGTGAGGGACTTGAAATCAGTATCGTGATGAGTACTGTACTATATGTTTAGCACAAGTTCTTACTAAATATTATATTGACAACATAATAAAGTCAATAGAATGCATTGAAAGGCCAGTTTTGTTTGATGTGTAGTATTATCTGTATTTTTCATGTTCAAAATGGATGTAGCAGTTTTTATTGAAGGTTACTAAATCTGTTTTATCTTAGATTCAGATGATGATAAGCCTCATAAGGTTTTTTTAAAGCCATCTCTTCTCTCAGATGTGGCAAAGAACTTGGCAAATGCATCCCCAAAAAGTATGTCTGGCTGGAAATTTATTATATGTATCTCTTAATTTGTTAAATTTGTTTTCTTGGTTGGCAACTTGGCATGCATAGCTTTAAGGATGAGATTGTTGTACGCTAAAACATGTATGGTTTTTCTTTGTGTTTTAGTTGATAGAAACTCTACAACTTCTCCAGTTCCTAAGGTATGGTTAATTGAAGATTTTTCTACTGTTGTATCAAGCTAAGGGCACAAATTTAATGAGTTTTTGCTTCACAATCTGAATATTTAAACATTAAGCTCTAGTGATTAAACAGGACTTTTGGTTTCACTAACATTTCCAGTCACTCACGATCATTTTTTGGGGGGATATTTTAGCTCATGCTCTGGGCTTGTTCCCATCGTCCACCTCTTGCACTTTTTGCTTGTCTCCAGCTCTCACTCTTCTCGCTTGTTTTGTGCTCCTGCTCCCCACTAAGCCATGGGAAAGCCTTTCAAGAAGGCCGGTACAGTATCATCTGTATGTACTCAAGTACGCAAAGTACGCAAAGTGTAAACCCAACCCTCCAAGTTGTTTCCATTTTGGTCACCATGGCACCTGAACTTTTGGAGCTGGTGACTTGACTTGTAAAAGTCTCCCTAAACCAAAAGAGTGGGTTGCCAAATGGTGACCAAGCAGAAACTTTTACTTGGAGGGTTGAAACCAAGTGTGAATCAAAGCAAACTGACAAGAGGTATTTATTTTATCAAAAGAGTGGTACCTGCTAAATCGAAGGCAACCCAGAAACACACTTGTCAAGGAAGTACCAGTCTAACAGAATCACTCTGATACCTTCTTGAATTTTCCCCTCAGACATTTGGCATCTCCAGCAATGATTCCTCTCTTACTGAGCAGAGTACCAACACATCACAGCGCTCACATGAGTTGGCACCAGGACAGAACAAGGAAGGAATAATTGGAGCTTCCTCTAAGAATTACTTTGCGGAGTTTCTAGGAAGTGGAAGAGAGTAAGTTGTAGAAAAAATGTTATGAATACAGTCAAATTAGATGCGCATCCCTTGTAATAACAATATTGAATCGTTTTTCTTGTAGATCCTCAACAAAAACCTCAAGTGGATCCTTTGTGTTTGGACAAAACATGGGTGATAGAGTTATGGTGAGGATTTAATTGCAAGCATTTTTTTTTTACTTTGTAAATTAGCTCCTCTAAAACTGTTATCCATTATGTCACATCATTATACGTTATACTCACCATCTGTCTTCTCATTGGCTAAGAGTCTACAGCTAATTTTGGAAATCAGCGCAACCTACAGATTAGTTAGTTATCTGCTAGCAGATAACTGACTAATCTGTAGGTTGCGCACACAATACATTATGTCCAATATCAATATCAATTTAGGTTCCTTGCGACTGTGTGTTTGTCGTTATTTGCGTCAAAACGATTATAACCTTGATAATTGCGGATATCACACAAACCTCATCCAATAATTGTTTATAATCAGAGGTTTAGAATTGTGATTGGGGAATCCCCCAGGCAAGAATGAGGTGGGATAGAAGAAGAAATAAAAATCATACATTGTACAGTACACCCTCGGCAAGGGATGCTATTGTATTTGTCTGGATGTACAAATTAAAGTGTATTTGTCTGGAAGGGCAAAAATGATTTGAATACACCAGGTGTGGAGGCATAATATTTTAAAAGCAAAGAAAAAAAATTTCATGTTAAAAAATATCTGGACATGTGTGGACGAGACTTACACAACAAAATATGTGTGCCATGTAGCTGAATCAAAATCAATAATTGCCCCTTTGACATTTTGTTTTTCTTTCTGTGGTTAGTTTTCAGCTGCAGATAGCAGTGGAAATAATGTCGAGACCAATGGCAAGACTGAAGAAAAGTCAACAGCCTGTGACAATTCAGTCAGTGATCACCTTGGAGGTTGGTTAAATTTGTACAGGTAATAGCATGATTTGTAGTGATATTTGGCGTAAATACCATGAGCGATATTTCGAAATTGTTATATGTCATTTCACGAGCTGTTGGGCGAGTGTAATTTGAGACAATTTTGAAATATCACGAGTGGCATTTATGCCAAACATGACGCACAAATCATGCTATTATTTGTTTATACTACCCACAAAAAAGTTTGTAATTTTCACATGTAGGTATTTCAAATTAAGCTGAAATGCCACTGCTCTAAGTCAGTCAAATTGCAGAAATTTCTCATGTAGTAGTATGATATTATCAAAGTAATCTGTAAGCAGTCTCTGTAGAGTGGGTTTCGCTTTAGCAGAGCAGAGCACAGCTTTGATTGGTTGCCACTCCAAGTAAAAAAAAAAAATTGCCAACTAAAGTTGAACAACAAAATTAATGACGAACAAAACCATGTTAATTTCTAGATCTTTGTTCTAAAAATAAATTAATATATTGATTTACAACCTACAAGATGCTGAAAAAGTGTCATTGTCATAGAGAGTCATGAAACCCATTCTGAAACCTGAACAAAGTATAGTGATTTCTAGTTGTAGATCTGCCAGAGGTCTCTTGGTTAATAAAGCTTGCGTAAGAGTTTTCATTTTAATGCATGCACATACAATGTAACTAGCATATTTTTGTAATCCAAGTACATACACTGTCCAGCTAATTTTCTTATAGGAAATTTGCATGCTCACCTTAACCTGTGCCTGAAAGGTGAAATCAGCTCTTTCATGTACAAAAATAATATTAAATTGTCTACAGTTCTGCCTATTGCAACCTTAACAAAACCAGCTGAAAATTTTTTCCCTATCCCTCTTTTCAGGGGATAGGGACACTTTATCTGGGTCCCGAAACATGGGTTTAACCATTATTAGGGGGAAACCTTAGCAATCAAAAAATGACTTACATGTACCCCAAGAATTGTCCATAACTTTAAGTGTTCACTAGTCACGATGGCGACAGCTTTCAAAAAATGAATTAACTCACTTAAATCAATGTACTACACTTGTGGGGATACAACACTCAACATTGCAGAGATAACTAGGTAATCATGATTTTTATACATTATCCAGCTGCTTGAGATAATGACTGCAGCAGATTCCATAGCCTGTGAGAGCAGACCCCTTTTTAGCAACGTGCAAAGAAAGTCGTGTCCGATAGCCTGGCAGGGCTAGTGGATTTTGCTATCAGGCTACTGATTTTTCCTCTTAACTTACCTGACGGGCAAGTGCTGTTTTTTGGGGAAATTCAAATTACAGAAGGATTGTAACCAATCCTGCTGATCAAAAAGGGTTTTGGGGCTAGTTGAAAGGACTTGTGGGCTAGTACGTGCTAGCTACAGCTTGCCTGAATAGCAGGCTGTAAAACTGTCTTTATTTGCACCCTGTTTAGACTCTTGCCTTGGTCTCAAGGGTGTCCCTTGAATGGGGGTTCCATTGTATTAGTATGGGTATTAATTAATTCTTATAAAATATATTTATTATCATTTATTTTTATTAATAATTGATTATTGTTATCAGTATCATAATGATATTACTATTAGTTAGTACTCTATTTTATGTTGTAATTTTTAAAAGATGTCATTTCTTTGTTATCCAAATCCCTTTGACCATTGCTTCCTCAGGCCTTGATGGACTTGGCGATTTTAAAAGAGGAAATTTAAAATTTGCTTTTTTGAAATCGCCAAGAGTGTCATGTCTCTACTGTGAAGCTTGCACTTTTACATTTGAATTCAAGTTTGAATGATGTTATAATGTTCATCAACTTACGGGGTCTTCAAAAGCTGCACTCAATGTTCCAGACCACCACTCCTTATCAGCGTGCAAAGAAAGTCGTGTCCGATAGCCTGGGACTAGTGGATTTTGCTGTTGGTCTAGTGAATTCTGTTATTAACATGCCCAACAAGCAACAACAGCAAGTGAATTTCTCTAGGAAATTCACATTACAGAAAAACTGTTATCAATCGTGCTCATCCAAAATTTTTTTCGGGCTAATAACTCTTGGGCTAGAACATGTTAGCTGCTGCTTGCCAGAATGACTTTCTTTGCACCCTGCTTATTCTTAGTTTTACTGTACTAAATTTTAAGTAATTTAATGTCATTACATGTAGCTTCATACAGTGTCATTGTACAATGACCGTTACAAAAATCTGCCATACATGTATAATCACATAATTATTGTAATTATTGTTGTTGTTAGAGTTATTATTATTATAACTATTATACATTTTGCACACTATCTGTGTTCTCAACAGCCTACAGTTTTTTTTTTGGAAATCAGCGCAACCTACAGATTAGTTGTTTGCTAGGAGATAACCGACTAAACTGCATTATCTCCAAGAGTAATGTCAAACTGCTTTCCTTGTAACAGTCTGTTTGTCGTTATCGTCTTCAGAAAAATGTATAATTAAACAATTATTAGATTTGGGTTAACTGGAATAATCAAGGTCTCGGTAACTGTTATCAGTCTTGACTGTCAGCTGAACCTAATCCGGTTACACTTGTGTCAGCCGTGATTAGTCTGGGCAAGGCTGTGCTCTAAGGAAAATTGAAGGCAGCCTGGTGCTCTGAACCTGTAAAATGTAGGGTGCCCAGTATATGATTTGTATGAAAAAACTAAGATTTTCTAGTTGCCCGAGGGCAAAAGTAAGGTGCCAGGGGCCACCGGGCTCTGCTAGAGCACAGCCCTGGGACCCGTTTCTCGAAAGTCCCGATAACTTTTCGGGCCCTAAGTCAAATATTCAAATCCAAATATAAAGAATAAGAGCGCAGGTCCTGGCTAGCAAACTTCTCCATTTTGTTTCATCAACTGATAGTTTTATCACGTTAGATGCAGAACTATTGAAACCTCTATCTTGCACGTAAACCACATCAAGTTTACGCGCCCGTTAATTATCGGGACTTTCGAGAAACGAAACGGGCCACTGGTTTGGGTATCGCAAAAACAGGGTAGTAATGAATGAAGTGAAGTGGAAAAGGGAAAAACATTTATATTGTGCCTTTTTACATTATTATATTAACATCATGATAACAGTAAGTTCAGAAGTCAGCGTACAAGGGCGCCACTGGTTGCGTCCTTCATCCATTTATAAGCTGTCTTACCTGCGAGTAAGCTCTCCGGGGAGCTCTGGCGGCGGGGCAGGAAAAGGAAGGAGAGCTTGCAACTACGTCTCCGGAAGGTGCATTCCGCCTCCAATTCACCTGTGTCTCGCCGTCAACTGAGCTGTCAGATTTCCGCCAATCAGCGCGAAGCGGAAACGAGGGCGAATGTAAAGAAGCATTGGAAAACACGTGAAAGCACACGCCAAGGGTAATGACGTCATTACTAATGTCATCTCCACCAATCAGCATTTCGCATCGACTTTTTCGATGTAGATATTCAGATTCCAGAGATGTAGTTGCAAGCTCTCGCTCCTTTTCCTGCCCCGTCACCAGAGCGCCCCAGAGAGCTTGCTCGCAGGCTAAAGCTGTCTGTACCCCACCTAGCTCATGATGCCTGACTGATGTGTGACGTGAGGTAAACTGTAACATAGTATCTGGTGATTATTTATTTATCCATGTATTTATATATTTTTATTGTTAGTTACAAGTAGACTGATGGAACTAGATTAAATCTTGAACATTTATTGCTACTCAGAGAGTTGCCTGATGATTGCTTCGCAAGAGGCATGGAACTCTGAGTAGCAATAAATGTTCAAGATTTAATCCAGTTCCATCAGTCTACTTGTATTCTGCTCTAGTTCAACTATTGAGCACTCTTATAGTGGATGAGGACATCACTCTGTAACTTCATTATATATAGTTAGTTATGTATTAATTTAGGTAGTTTATTATTTACTTATTTGGGTGTCTCTAGGTGTTGCGGTGACCATTTGATGGTTAGCTATTGTTTAGTAGTGTGCGTATAGAGGGTCCCCGATAGGTTTTTCGGGATCCGGGATTTTCCTTAATTGAACCTCGGGATTCGGGAATTTGATGCAAAATGGGGGCAAGATTCGGGATTGACGGTGTGCGCACGAGGTTGGATGCTACAAATAACCCTCGGGATTACGGGATGGCACGAAATTTAGGGTAGGGATTACGGGATTGAAGAACCCTAACCCTCTGTATAATGTTCAGTGTCTTTTCAAAGTTTTGTATTAAGTCATTTGGTGATTGCACCTGCCAGCAACTCCAAGAAGCTACTATTTATTAGACCACTGCAATAGTTATTATAGTATTTCATCGCGGAAAAGCAACAACTACAGCACCAAACATAAAAATTATTTTGCTTTTTGCCAGAGGAAGAACGTAAGACTCTCGCAGACTTGGCGCACTCCTGCGCAGACGCTGAAGGGCCTAGGTCTCCAAATCACGAGAAACCTCACAAGTCGCTTGCTGAAGCAGCAATGGAGTATCAAGAACATCTGAGTCCACCCAAGTCACAACCTGCAAAGGTGGCCGTGGTCACAGGTGAAGAGGAAGAGAAAAATGTTCTTCAGGTGAGTACTTTCATCAACTTTCTACTGGCCAACCCTCAAAATGCTTCAAGTTATCAAAATCAATTTCCTGCTAACACTATCAATACGGATGGTGAATTACGATCTGTTTTCTGTGTTTCAAGGTTCGTTGCTTGTGATCGTAATTATGATTGACGGCAGCGAAAAACGCAATTGTGGAGGTGGTCAAGGTGGCTTTTGAACTTTAGAGTTCGCGTGTTTGTGAAAAGTAGAATCATGGGTTAACTCACTTGCTTGGGTGCTTGACTTCAGAGTGCTGGTTCCACTTTTCTATTCCTGGCCAGATTCAACACTCAGGGTCTTAAAAGTTACCTTTCGTGTAGAGAGAAGTAGACTGCGAGCAGTCTCTTATTTTTCTTTGCAAAATTACTGCACGCGAAACCCAAGCACGCGAGCCGCGATAAACGAGGAAGCAGACCCGAGAAGAGAAAATCTCGTCTCGTCCCTATCCCTTATTTTAACATAAGGTCGTGGTTTGCAATTGCGCCAGCTGAGATAAGTACTAGACGGATGTAAAGAAAAAAGGCAGGTTTGAAGCAGTCAAAGAGAGAAAAAACGCCCCGAAATACGTCAGTGTTCGTAGACTAGTGCTGTTCCCGTCTGTTTCGTTTTGATATGCAAACTATTTTTCTTCTTCTCATTCTTAGAGCAATTGTCGCTTGTTCGTGTTTGATACCACGACCCATTCATGGAGAGAAAAAGGAAGAGGAGTCATCAGGTTGAATGACATGTGCCAGTCAATGACAGAGGGAATCTTCCAGTCGAGGCTTGGTAAGGCTAAGAGTTGGAACAGAAGATTAACTGAGGTAGCTCCACTCCCTCCAAAGTTTAAATTGGTAGAACATAGAAGACACGCTCAGTTTTTCTGTCATGTAGTGACTCCGATCTGAATCAGTAGAAAATTTTGTAGACTGCCAACAATTGCCCAGCATTTTCATGCAGGCGAGAGCCAACATGGAAAACGCGCGTAAGAGAGAAGTCGGGCGACTCAACAGCTCCATTCTCAACTCTATAAGGGACTAGTTGCAGTCTAAAGATTTTAGGTGATTACTCAGCCACCCCTCCCCCAACCGCCTAATCCAAGGTTAACTTCCCTCTTGAGGCAAAAAGTTGGGTTTGGGTAGGTGAGGGGTGAGTGGGCTGTTTTTCATCGCTGACTATCAACTTTTGAATTTTCACAGTGATGCGCACACAAGGTAGTTTGCGTGTGGTACTCAACACTAAACTGTGGCCCAATATGACTTTAGAAAAAGGCAATGAAAAGAGCTTGCGGTTCACTGCCATGGACAGCGAGAAAGACATTAAAATTTACCTTATAATGGTGAGTTATTTTTTTATTTTCATTTTTTTTGTCTTTCCTTCTGGACTTAATTCCTCATTTCAAAGTGATGGGCTTAAGCTAGCCCTTTAGAAGTTGGTTATAGCCATTTTTAACTTACTCTCGCACTAATCACTACTACTCGCCTCCAGAACAGGCGTTATTTGTTCGCGGTTTTCAGGGGAGCGAAGGCAAGCGCGAAGCGAGCGAGAGGCGCGTTCGCTGGCATGAAAAAACGCGAACAAATAACGCCTGCTCTGCAGGCTTTTCCAGTACCAGTGGAAGAAACAGCTCATATCTAAGCTGATTTTTCGCGACGCGAGCACTGGTTTCCCAGCGAAATGGCTTCTGAAGAACAGGCGTAGAAATTGGTTATTCCATACTGAGGACGTTTCACTACCAGATCTGGGAAGTGCTTCTGATTGGTCAGTCGTGCCAAGAGGGAAACTTACTTCAACCATTCACTAGCCAGATCTGGGTGGTGACTCGTGATCATTACTGAATTTCTACGCCCTTTCCTCATAATTATAATACGAGATTTAGCGGGGAATCTAGTGTTGGCGTCGTGAAATATCAGCTGTTTTCTCAGGTTACTCGCCTTGTTTGTTACTGCGCGAAATGCGAGGTTTACTTTGTCTTTGTCATTCCCCAGGCCGCCCCGAACGATATTCAACGCCTTTGGACCGCCATTGATCGGCGTATCCAGGCCCTTAAGCGTGGCCAAGAAAAAGAAAAAGCCGCTGACCAAGACCACACTGCAGATGACGATGACGAGAGCAAAACCGAGCCAGATGATGAACTGAAGGGGACTGAGCAAGAAGACGACGATGATTCGGTTAAAGATCGTTGCGAAGTCCCGGATGAGGGCAGTAA